TTGTTTAATCTCTTCATTGATTTTATCGACAAATTTTGATTTCAAATTCTCATTTTGTTGCATTGTTTCAAAAATAATATTATAACTAAAAATATTGTCAACCACAATTTTATTTTGATTCCATCTTTTACAACTTGTTATCATTTGTTTCTCTCTTTTTCTCTTGAGAATTTTTATCATTGTAACCAATCATTTTAACTGGTAATACGATCTAAGTTACTTAAGACTCACATGATAACTCTATTAGGTTTCTTGAAAGTTTATTCTTTTTCTCAGAGAAAGCTGCTAGTGCCAAAATTCTGAGATGTGTGTGTGTTAGTTTCTCGATTATATGCTCTGAGCTAAACAACCTAGTGTGATTTCATTGGCTGAGAGTTGTGTCCTTTTTTCCCGTGCTCACCAACCATAACAGAGTTGACAGCTTTTACAGCTGTTCCGTATGCGATACTCACGGGACCAGGTCCCATTGTTTGTTAAGATGATCAAGACTTCAGAGTTACACAATGTCAAGAAACAGTGAAATTCAGTGCTGCTAATGTAATTCCATCGGATAAGTTGAATGGGAACATTAGTTTACTTGCAAAAGAAGAAGAATGCTCTGTTCCTGTGGTTCTGTTAGTTTCGTTGCAAAAGAATCAAAACTGAAGATGAGGATCAAATCCCACTTCTCTGGGAAGATTTTTATATTGGTCATACAAATCTGTAGAGTTAGAGTAAGCTGCTTGTCTCCAACACCCACAATGACGACATCAGTTTGCTAATAAGAGACACAGCTTTCCTCACGACAACATACTGCTTTACGTGTGTTAGCACCTTCAATGGTGACTCTGCTGCACAAGTACTTAGCTGCTTATCTCCTTTAATGGAGGTTTACGTGCAGAGAAGGAAGTACTGTGCAGAGAAGAAGAAGAAGACTAACAGAATGTTGTGAAATGTAATCTTCACTACTGAGTTTACTTTCAGATCTTTACACATATATATACAACACTTTGTACATGATTCTAACTAATCCTACAATCAGTTATAACTAACTTATATTCCTAACTAACTTTCTGCAGTAACTAATTACTCAACTAACAACTAATTATACAACTAATTGTTAACTAACTACTATCTTCAATACTCCCCCTCAAGCTGTATGGTGCAAACAAATTGTATACACCTAGCTTGGATAACAGAAAATCATGTTGAGTCCTCCCTAAACTCTTTGTTAATATGTCAGCTAGTTGCATTCTTGAAGGCACATGGTATGTCTGAATGAGTCCTTCTTGTATTTTTTCTCGAACAAAATGACAATCAATCTCTATATGCTTAGTTCTTTCGTGATAGATAGGATTAGCAGCAATTTGGAGTGCTGCTTTGCTATCACAAAACAACCTAACTGGTAGTTCTAACTCTACCTTCAGCTCTTTGTATAGGCCTATTAACCACACAACTTCTGATACAGCATTAGCCATGCTTCTATATTCTGCTTCAGCAGAGCTTCTTGATACAACATTCTGTTTCTTCGACTTCCATGATTAATGAATCTCCAATTTTCACCACAAAACCACTAACAGATCTTCTTGTCATAGGACATGTAGCCCAATCAGCATCACAGTAAACTGAAAGTTGTTTGCAGACCTTTGATGTTAGCATAATTCCCAGACCTGGTGCATTTTTTAAGTATCTTATTACTCTTAATGCACCCTCCATATGTGACTTCTTAGGTTTATGCATGAATTGGCTGAGGTTCTGCACTGCATAACTAATATCCGGCCTTGTCATAGTGAGATACAATAGCTTACCAACCAATTTCTGATAGCCTGCTGGATCACTAAGAGCTACATCTTCATGTGCATCCTGAGCTTCACAACTCATGTCAAAATCTTGACTAGTGAACCTTTGATTAACTTCCAAAGGTGTGCTAGCTGGTGTGGTGCCTGCAAGGCCAAAATCTGAGATAAGATCCAAGGCAAATTTCCTTTGACTCATCATAATACCATCTTTGTTCTTTGCTATTTCAAGACCAAGGAAGTATCTCATCTCCCCCAAGTCCTTGATCTTGAAATGAGTCTTCAACATATGTTTAGTGGCTTGAATCAATTGAGAAGAAAAACCAGTAATCAACAGATCATCCACATAAACTAAGATAAGAACTAAATCAGAACCATAACACTTGGTAAACAAGGAATAATCATGGTGACTTTGAGTGAAGCCAGATCCAATAAGTGATTCACTAAGCTTCAAATTCCATTGTCGAGAAGCCTATTTCAAACCATATAGTGATTTGTTTAGTTTACAAACTGCAGACTCCCCCTGTTGTAGTAGACCAGGTGGAGGAATCATGTACACTTCCTCAACTAAGTCACCCTGCAAGAAAGCATTAAAGACATCCATTTGATGTAGAGACCAGACATGCATAGCAGCCAAAGAAAGGACAACCCTTATTGTTACCATTTTGACAACAGGAGAAAATGTCTCTTGATAATCCAAACCTTCTTGCTGTGTGTACCCCTTAGCTACAAGTCGAGCTTTATATCTCTCTACCTCACCTTGAGCATTAAACTTGACCTTGTATACCCATTTACATCCAATAGCCTTCTTTCCAAGAGGCAATATAACTAAATTCCAAGTATGATTATCATGTAATGCCTTTAATTCTTGTGCCATTGCTTGAAGCCAATGTGAATTCTGTACAGCTTCATCATAAGAAGCAGGCTCTTTTATAGCAGAAAAGTTGCATAGTGATTGAAAATAAGGTGAAGAAATAGAGGCATAGGACATGTATGAGGACAAAGGATGAGCAGTAGAACAAGTAGAGGAATGTACAGGATTGTGTGTAGCAGTATGGACAAAACCATGAAGCCATCCAGGAGGTTTAGAAGGTCTGTTGGACCTTCGAAGATCAGTATTGGTAAAGGTGTTAATTGGTTGTGAGATGGGAGTAGATGATGAAGAAGCTGGATCAAATGTTGTAGAGGCTGAATCTGGAGAAATAACAGATGGTTCATGCAAAGGGATAGGAGGAGGATCATCATAAACAAACATATCAGATTTCTCAGAAGAAGAAAAGTCACAAAACTCATTTTGAATGTGTTGAAATGGATATTGATCTTCTCTAAATATAACATCTCTACTTATGAGAAAGTTTTGGTAGACAAGTTATATAATTTGTATCCCTTTTGTGTGGTAGAATAGCCCATGAACACATATTTGATAGCTCTTGTATCAAATTTATCACCATTAGTGTGGTGATTAACAGCAAAACATAAGCATCCCATAACTCTAAGATGATGTAAAGAGGGTTCTCTGACAAAAAACACAACAAAAGGAGACCTTCCTGATAATGCAGTAGATGGTATTCTGTTGATCAAATAAGCAGCATTTTGAACACATAGACCCCAAAATTTGATAGGCAAACTAGCTTGGAATCTAATGGCCCTAGCAACCTCCAGAATCTGTCTGTGTCTCCTCTCCACTACCCCATTCTGTTGGGGTGTATATACACAAGAACTTTGATGAACAATGCCTGCTGTTCTAAACAATTCACTACAATGTGAATTAAAGAATTCTGTACCATTATCACTTCGAAATATCTTGATATAACCACCAAACTGCCTTTGAATTAGCTGAAGAAAGTCTTTCAATACAATGAATACATCACTTTTCATTTTAAGGAGAAAAATCCACACCATTCTACTACAATCATCTACCAAAGTAAGAAAATACCTATTTCCATCATAAGTAGGAAACTTATATGGACCCCAAACATCAGCATGAATCAAATCAAACACATTATTTGATCTAGTGGAACTTTGAGGAAAAGGCAACCTAGTTTGCTTAGCTAAAGGGCATACTGAACAAGGTGTCAACTGTGAAGAATTAGAGATATGTGGTATTTGCATCTGTTGAAGAATCTTGTGAGGAACATGTCCTAGTCGTCTATGCCACAAGTCAACAATATCCATTTTGCTCAAGGCAGCTGAAGGAGAAACAGAAGAAGCTATAGTAGGAGAAACACTGTGTGACCAGTAGTATAAACCATTTTCCATGCTACCAGTCCCCTTCACCTTCTCAGTGTGAAGGTCCTGCAATATGCAATGGTCAGGATAAAATACCATACAACAATGCAATTCTCTAGTCAGTTCAGACACTAACAATAAGTTGTATTTGAAATCTGGAATGTACAGAACATGAGATATATCTCCCTGTGTCAGTCTAGACTTCTCACTAAAAACAATAGGTATTTTTTGTCCATTAGGCAAATGAACCTTATTGAACTTAGTTGTAGGCAGAAGTTGAGTCTCATGAAGCAAATCTGGAGTAGAAGACATATGATTTGTTGCACCTGTGTCAACTATCCATCTATGACTAGATGAATTATGCATTACTGAGCAGTTAACAATACCTGCAATATTAGTTGTAGGAGAATTTGAGTTAGGGTGATTTAGTTGATTGCCTGTGAAAGCCATGTTAATACCAGCTCCTCCATGATTATAAGGTCCAGTAGATCCATATCCATGTGCACACCTATCAGCAGTAACATTGGATCCTGAACAATTATGAGATCCATGTAGTCCAACATAGCCATGAGCATGTGTTCCAACTTCTGTTTGGCTATTTCCTCCAATAGACTTGTGAACCTCTCCTGCAGAATTATGATTGTGAGAAAATGATAAATTTCCATAAGAAGGCCCTGCATTACGACTATCATACTCTGATTTAAACACAGGTGGTACATTGTGTTGCATATTAGATCCATCTTTCTTCTTCCCTTTATACCAAGGTGGATAACCTATAAGCTGAAAACAATCATTTTTTACATGGCCTTTTGTGTGACAATGATCACAAAAAGCATTTGGAGACTTGTATCGAATCTTTGATGTATGCTTAGCAGTCCAAAGAGCTGTAATATCATTTCCTTCAGCTATAGCTTTCATTCCCATAGAACTATGATTTACATCAAATCTCTGACTCTCTTCTTTAACAATCATGGCATATGCCTGATTAAGAGTTGGTTAAGAAGTTTTCATGAGTATTTGCCTCCTAGCCTGCGAGTGTGATTCATTTAATCCTGCAAGAAATTGAATTAGTCGTTGTTGATGCAAATGCTCAACATAATCCTTTGACTTCGAACATCCACAGCTTGGAAATATCACCATTGCATCATACTCTGCCCATAGTTCTTTTAACTTTGTAAAGTAAACTGAAACAATATCGATCCCCTGTGCAATTGTAGCAATCTCTCGATGTAGCTGATAAATCCTTACACGATTAACCTTATCAAACCGTTCCTTCAGATCTCCCCAAACTAGTGATGGATCAGACGCATACACAATGCCACTCAAGAGATTAGAAGACACAGTATTCATAAGCCATGAGAGAACAATCGCATTGCAGGTATCCCATTGATCATGATACTTAGTTTCAAAACTTGCCTTCGTACAAGTTCCCATCACAAAACCTAGCTTCCTCGTTGCTTGTAAAGCAATTCGCATAGACCTTCTCCACAAGCCATAATTTTCTGATCCTGTTAGCTTAACAGGACAAATGACAGACCCTGGAGTATCCGATGGATGCAAATAAAGAGGATGTGTGTAAGGAATGACAAGATCAACCACCATTGTTATTGATTCACTACCTCGCTCTGATACCATGTTAGTACCTTCAATGGTGACTCTGCTGCACAAGTACTTAGCTGCTTATCTCCTTTAATGGAGATTACGTGCAGAGAAGGAAGTATTGTGCAGAGAAGAAGAAGAAGACTAACAGAATGTTTGTTAAATGTAATCTTCACTACTGAGTTTACTTTCAGATCTTTACACATATATATACAACACTTTGTACATGATTCTAACTAATCCTACAATCAGTTATAACTAACTTATATTCCTAACTAACTTTCTGCAGTAACTAATTACTCAACTAACAACTAATTGTTAAATAACTACTATCTTCAATAACGTGTATAAAGGAAGAGAAAAGCAAAGACAACACAGTGAGTTCCATGTAATAAAAACACAGCTTTCCTGATGGCACCACATGAAACATTCACACAAGAAAGAGTTGGAACTGGAGTTAGGTTAGCTGATATGCAGAAGCCTAAATATGGACATCTAGATTCTACAAAGTAATTACATCTAACTATTGCGAGTAGCACTTACTTTATATCACTTATAATCAATATAGACAACTCAGCCATAGAACTCCAAGGGGTCGAGGCCCATAATGCACACAAAAAATCTCATTAGTCCAAGCAGGCTTGCGTGACTATTCAAAATACCATCCAGATCCTTCAATAACTTCTCCTGTCCCTTGGAAACAATCGTCAACCCATAATTCAACGAATCACCGACTGATTCTTTATCCGATTCATCGTCTTTGGGAGCTTGAAATGAGAAAAAGTAATGTGAATCATCAAACTTTACAGCAGCAAGATCCTTAGTCAACGGCCACTGGATTTCATTTCCAACACAAACAAGTAGAGCGACGATATTGTTCCGTTGTCGGAGACGATCTAGATGAATATTGTTCTTCGGGAAATACAGGTGTCATTGGTAGTTGGCCAAATTAACTGTCTTGGGAATTTCCTACTATATGCTATATGTATTTCTTGTTCTATACCACAACTAGGGTCTGGGCGGAGTGCGGAGTGATGTGCACACAAATCTTATCTCTACCTTGATAAAACAGTCTAAGTGATATATAAAAGAGACTTAGTCAATATTACCTTGTAATGACTCATCCCAATCATTAAAATACTTAAGTCTGTCACCTATTAATGTGGATGTGGGGCTACAAAAATTCTCCTCTACTTCAATCTGACTGCATTCCCATGTGAAGAGAAGCACTTCCCTTCATAGACCATTTAAGAATTCAACAGGTAGTCTCACTATACTAGACCTTACTTTGCAAAACAGTCAAGATCTCAAAAGATAGCTTTAGCTAAACAACAACAGCAAAACAAAGATATTAAGCTAATAATCAAGCCAGCCAAGCAAAAAAAGCAAAAGTCCACCAAATCTTAGAAAGGTCATACCGTTTGATCCTCTTCAACGTCTCAGGACTGACCTCACTCTTCGACCCTGTCTTAAACCTATTCTTCAGAACCTCATTCCCCCTCTTCAATCTATCTGCAGTAACATCTCCACACCACAAAATCCCCTTTATTAAGTGTCCTGAACCTGAAGCAACTAACTTTGCCACCTTGGCATTGTACTCCTCCATATTCGGTGCCAATGCAGTCCATGTTGGATTTAGCAAAGTGTGAATGGGAAAAGAAAAGTTGTTACTTTTTCTGAAAAATCGTTACTTTCCGAAAAGTCGTTATTTTTCTAATAGACACATTTTCCGAAAAGTTAATATTTTTTCCAAAAGACACATCTTTTTGGATAAAACGGGTCTGAACAGATTTCTCTGAACAAACACGTTTCTTGTTGAAAATGGCTATAAAAGGAAGTTATTTCATTTTTTCAAACACTGAAATTTTCCTTCTCTGCACACATACTTTTCTCTCAAAATCAAAGCGTCGATCGGCTGAGTCTTTGTGACTTGTTATTGTTCTTAAGTTCGTTGAAATTAAAGAAGTTCGAGGCAGGATTAATCCATTTTATATTGAGAAAAATTTATCCATAACCTCGGATACAGTGAAAGGATTAAATTTATTAAATTTTTATGGACTCGAATTATTTTGTCTACTTTGTCTTATTTTTGTTTCTTATAAATACAGGTTAATAACATTCCAATACACACACATCGCTCTTCCAACACCTCCTTCTTCTTCTCCGACTTTAAATCCGCCAAGTGACAACTCCTTCACCACCGGTCCACCCAATCCCACCGTGGCCTTTTCCTCCACTCTCTGCAGCGCAAAACTGATGTAATTTTCCAAAATACCATCCAGATCCTTCAACTACTACTTGAGGATACATTGAAGAGGAATTAGGGTTTCTGGAAGCCATTGAAGTGAAGTTGAAGTTGGTGGTTGCCAATATTAGAATTTATCTTGTTTCAACTGTATTTAAAATTAAGTGTAGTTGGGCTTATTTCTTTTGTAATTCAATAATTCAAAGTAAGTGTATTTATTTCTTTTGTCATTCAATTATTCAAAATAGGTGCACCTACTGTAAAATGTCAGAAATGTACAAAATAATTGTACTAGTTCTCGGTACGTACTTAGGCAAATTTATTTTGAGACACTTAACCAATATCAAGGAGAATTCTTCTTACCTTTTTATTACAGAAGATCTTGAAATAAAAATATATTTTAAAGTTTGTGTCGTCATTTTCTCTTGTAAATTCAAAATGCTAATTATATTTATATCCTAAACATGGGAAATATTAATAATACATGAATATAATAATCAATTAGATTATGAAACTCAAAAAATGAAAATATCAATGAATAAAGTTGCGCAGATGCAGTCACGATAATCATGTGAATACACAAATATTACAATTACCCGACATTGAATGCATTAAAAACAAATTTATATTTATAACTCGGGGTGTCAAACAATAGACGGATTAGGTTGAAATTAGAAATACTAAAATGGTTGAAATAAAAATTGGATTGGGTGCTGACCAATTCAAGTTTATTTTGGGCTCAAATGGGTTGGGTCTTTACTCGCCCAGTATGATCTGCTTAATCTCAATAATTTTATTATATTTTTTTTAAGTTTTATAACCATAATTTAAATTTCAACTCAAGAAAATTTTAAAAAAGAAATTAAAAATGGATAGATAAATCCCAAAAGATATGAAATAGATAGTAATTAATACCTTCAATATCGAAACATACATTACCTCATTACAAAAGAAAAACTCTTAAAACGAGTTAAAATTGAAGACTAAATTGGACTCAATTGAAAATTAGTTAAGAGTTGAATAAGTTAAAATTGAACCAATTTATTTTATCTTGAGCCAAATCTTAAAATTCTTAATGAATTGAGCGAATTACCTATAATTAAACTTATTTTTGACACCCCTACGTACTACATATGTTTAAGACAGATACACATAAAATAGTGGAGGAAAATGGAGAAGAACATATGTTAAAACTGAAAGTGATGAACCAAGCACTAATTCTAGAGCACCCAATTTTTCTAAAATAATTTTACAAATTTGTGCTTCAGTTTCTAAGTTGAGAGGATATTTTTTCAAAGAAGGAGATATACTATTCTTATTATTTTTTCTTTTGTGGGTTGGGCACAAATAATTTTATATTGGACTCACTTTAGTCCAACCCAACATAACTTATTTTAATGTGATCTTTAGTTCAATACTAACCTAATTCTAATCCATATTTAAGATTTACTTTAATTTGAATTTATTACTTGATATTTATGTTGATTTTTGTATGAGTCAAAGTTATCGTCTTGAGTCTCAAATTAAAGGTCTCAAATCAAGATTGTTTATTGAGTTAGAATTGAGTCTCGGATCACGAGTTCCGAGTCAAGGTAGGGACTGGGTCCATGTTCAGGACTAAGGCTCAGCTTCTGGGTCAAGATCACTCCTAGATCTGGATCAGAGCTCGAACCTCGAGTCAGGTCCTAAGTTAGGTTCAAAGATTCGGTCTTGAGTCTTGGTTTTATGGTAAAATTCAAGGCTCGAGTTTTGAGTTATGTCGGAGATCATTTCTGTTCTTTAATAAATTCTTTTTGCCAAAACTAACTCCTAAAATCATTTTTTATGGTTAAGCAGTAAAGTAAGGTGATAATAGATACATTCATTAGTCATAAATGAATACAAAAGGTTAATGTATAGAATTAGACTTAGACTTGGACTTAAAACTTAAATTAAGGTTAATCCGAAATGTTAATTAGGCTAGCTTACTCAAAGACAAGACAGTGTTATGAAAATTCTTAAGCACTTGTTTGGTATACGGGAGAGGATAAGTAAATATATCTCATCTTCTATATGAGATACTATTTATAATTTATTTAATACAAATTACACCAATATATTAATACTTTGGGTGTATACAAGCAAACACTTAAATTGTATAAAATTGAACAAGTAGACACACGATGTCTTATATAGCAATTCACATCCTATATGACGCCCTATGTGACAATTCACATCCTACATGACGTCCTATGTGTAATATGTCATGTAGGATATGTATTTATTTGTTCAATTTTATACAAATTTGAGTGTCTACTTGTACACACTTAAAAATTTAAGGACATAGATGTCAAGTGAAACCATATTAAATAACACATTTATGTATTATGCCAAAACAATGAACATACGCTCTCTTCTCATTACTCATGTAGATTTGAGGGCAATAACTCTCATGGTTGTTTTAGCCATGTCCCAGCATCCTGATGGGGATAAAACACCACCACAACATCTCCAAAATAATATTCATCAACACATAAACCAACATATGTCTTACAACTTCAAACCAATTCATCTACCATTAATGAAATTCATTCATGGAGAGTTAGGCATTGAATTCACAATAGATGAAGTTAATGAATTCACCATTTAGGAAGGACTACATCAAGCAATTATTCTCAAATTTTCTTATGAAAAAACTAGATTTAATGAGTTGCGCAAGGTTATTTCGAAGCTAATCAATCAAAGGTCACTACATTAATAATAATTTCTAGCGGCAATTAAATTACTGATAATAGCTTAATTGCCACTAAATGTGTACTTTTAGCAACAATTAACATTTTTTTAATCTGTCCCTTATCAAATATTTAGCGACATTGGATCCAATGATAATAAATTAATGCTGATAAAGATTTCAACACTCTTTATTTATTGTCACTTAAAGATATTTTTGTTGTAGTGGTTCATTGTAACATGGGCCAACTTGAGTTGTCAACTCTTGATCATGTTTGATTTATATGAAGACTTTGTTCAAGTTTCATCGAGATATTCTGGTTATATCATTTTGTCGATAAAATACTAGATGTGTAAAGCTAAGGCAATGTAACTTAACATCAAAGTTATTATTCTTATCCCAAGTACTCACGTCCTAAGGATCTGTTTAGTCATAGATTTTTTAATTAATATTTGGAGAAAAATAGTTTTTGTCCATATAAGTTGTTATTATTTGACAAATATTTTTTGTAAATATCCCAAATTTTCAAATACTAATTTTTTCTAGTATTTGGCTCAAATATCATTACTTTGGTTCTTTTAAAAATTGAAATTTTACATCAAACTTTTATCTTTTACTAAAACACCATCTATATATAGTAGTTTGTATTTTATTACATAATTTTTTTACGTGAACACCAAACTAGTGATGAAATATTCAATGAATATGATAGTGATGATATTGTTATCGATGAAAATGATGAACAATCGGCTCAAGATAACAAAGTTATATGCTTTGTCTATTTCACGATGTATGAAATGATGTTTGTTGCACTCATTCCTAAATACCACATTGCTCTAGTATCATGGACACTAGTTATTTGTTGTAACGAAGATCAAATTAACTTGTAATACAAACTTATAATTAGTTTTGATAGTTTTTAAAACTTATGTGTATAAATCATATTTTTTGATTTCGCCTAAATTTTCAATCAAATAAAATTTTACCAAGAATATTTAAAAATCTATAATTAAATGTTAGCTAAATCTTTTCTTCCGCTTTTTGTCCATAATTTCAAACATCTGTCTAGAAGCATATGTTGGCTTTATTTCACGTATAATCTCACTCGAATTTTATTTATTATAATAGTCAAATTATAACATTATTATTTGAAGCATTAAAATAATTAAATTTTACTTACTATATTTTATAGCAATAAAAGATAAAATTAGTTAAAGGTAAATATATATATTAGGTACGTCTGATTTGGTAAAACATATATATATAAAAAAACACTCTATATAGAGAGATAGAAAGGTGGAGTGAGTGTTCACTTTCTTTGTGCAAGAAAATCGTCACTCGCGCTCTCTTCTCCTCTTCTTCTTGTTTGTTTTCTACTCCTCTGTTTCGATTAAAAAAAATGGGGACGAATATCGAAGATGAACAACTCATTGGGTATCTTATAAATTTTGTTACTGGTATGCCTGTTGGATGCGATGAAATTCGTACTGTAGAACTGTATAGCAACAAGAAGCCTTCTCAGTTATTCGATACGACTACTACTGATCATCATTATGTCTTTACTGAGTTGAAGAAAAAAGGTAAGTACTTCAACAGGGGAATTGGTGGCAGAGGCGGCTCATGGAGAGCATACGGCGCAAGTGAAGACGTTGTCGACAAGAATAGATCAGTGATTGGTTTCAAGAGAAGATTCCGCTTTGATGAAGAAAATCATATCTGGATTATGAAAGAATATTGCCTTTTTGATAGTAAACTGAAGGACTTGAGACTACGTGGTCAAATTCGACATGAGGGATTTGTTGTATGTAGCATTATGAGGAAGGACACTTGTTCATCACAATGTCAAGAAAATCAAGATTTGGGTCTAATTCAATCTGATGACTTAAAAGAATCAACTATGACTGCTGTAAAACAAGATGAGTGTTTTGTTCGACAAGAAGTTGTTGATGAAGAAACTCTTCGCAATGCGTATACTCGCCCTCTGCTTGATTCAATGTTTAGGAACACTCCGAAACCATAAGATGAGTGCTCTGTTCCTGTGGTTCATCAACAAACTCCCTCAGTTAGTTTACTCCCAAAAGAATCAAATGTGACTGCTGCAGACAAAGAGGAATGCTCTGTTTCTGAGGGGCATCAAGAAACTCCTCCCTCTGTTACTTACTTCGAGTTTTTCTGATTATGCCCTTTTCTCTCACATTTCTTATTCATCTGCATGTCTCTTCACTGCTATCGATCTGTAGGAGAGTTTAGTTGCACCAACTACGTTAGTACTCAGATTTTTTCATCATTTTTCAGTTAGTTGCGTTAAACTGTTTGTAAGGGCAAGTTCCAAGTCTTATAAAGGTTTACATCTACAATTTTTTTTCAACTTCAAATATCGTCCTTGAGCCTATCGTAATCAACCCTCCCAAAAACTGCATAAGCGTTTTATGCATCTTAACACGAGTTATAAACTTGAAGAAAAAGAATGCAAGCTAATTTCTTCATTACAATGTCAAGAATCCTTTGTTCAGAATCAATTTTCAAGATTTGGGACAATCCCTTGCTCAATATCAGTTTCAAGATTTGGGACAATTAAGTACACCTAATGTAATTCCATTGTCACGACCCAAAGAGTGGCACCCACACTTATCCTACTATGTGAGCGAATCAGCCAATCTAAACCCCAACATTTTCAACATAGTAACAGAATACAATGCGGAAGACTTAAAACTCATTAATAAAAATAGATTAATAACCTCTAAAACTCAAACACTTGTCATCCCCAAAATCTGGAAGTCATCATCACAAAGAACATCTATCCTCAAATTACTAATCTAAGAGTATCTAAAAAGCTAAAATAAGTAAAAAGTTAGTCTATGCCGGAAGTTCAAGGCATCAAGACATGAAGAGGAAGATCCAGTCCAAGCTAGAAGCATTAGCTCACCCTGAAATCCGGTGTAATGAAGACTGGCTAGAGTTGCGGTTGAGTTGAAGACGACGACACGTTTGCTGCACTCCACAAATAATCAAGAAAACAAATACAAGTAGGGGTCAGTACAACCACAAGTACTGAGTAGATATCATCGGCCAACTCAAAATAGAAAACAGTATATATCAGATAATAACATAAAATCAACCATATTCCTCAACAGGTGAAAGCAACAAGTTCACAAATCATGTGCAACCACATCAAACACACCTATGAGAACTCAAGTCTCCATACCATACTCATTTGGGATATGGGTTCTTTTCATTCGAATTTATTAACATAATTTCAAGATTCATTATCTTTATTCCTCTTGTGTCGGTACATGACACTCCGCTCCCCTACTATTATGTGCCGGAACGTGACACTCCGATCCCCTAATTCTACGTGTCATTTCGTGACACCCGATCCCCTAATTCTACATGTCGGTTCGTGACACCCGATCCCCTAATTCTACGTGTCGGTTCGTGACACCCGCTCCA